AATGTGTGATATTCTTCCTAAGGAATCTGAATTACAGGAAATCCACCTTTATTCTTAATTTTAAGAATAATTTATTTTATTCTTAATTCAGAGCTTAATTGTCTATTTTTTTAAAAAATTGGCTTTTAGGGCTGGGGCTGTAACTCAGTAGTAGAGCACTATCCTAGCATGTATGAGGCACTGGGTTCAATCCTCAGCACCACATAAAAATAAATAAATAAATAAATGAATAAATAAATAAAATAAAATAAAATAAAGGTATTATCTCCATCTACAACTAAAAAATTTTTTTTAAATTGACTTTTAGATGAAATTGAACCTCTTTCTCTCATTGTGCTCGAAGTTCAACTCAAAGTGGATCAAGACCTAGGAATTAAACCAGAGACCCTGCGCCTAATAGAAGAAAAATTAGGCCCAAATCTCCATCATGTCAGATTAGGCCTTGACTTTCTTAATAAGACTCCTATAGTGCAAGAATTAAAACCAAGAATTAATAAATGGGATGGATTCAAACTGAAAAGCTTCTTCTCAGCAAAAGAAACACGTGAATAGAGAGCCTACAGAATCGGAGCAAATTTTTACCACATGCACATCAGATAGAGCACTAATCTCTAGAATATAAAGCATTCAAAAATCTTAACACCAAATAAACAAATAACCCAATCAATAAATTAGCCAAGGAACTGAACAGACACTTCTCAGAAGAGGATATACAACCAATCAACAAATATATGAAAAAAATTCAACATCTCTAGCAATTAGAGAAATGCAAATCAAAACTCCTCTAAGATTTCATCTCATTCCAGTCAGAATGGCAGCTATTAAGAATACAAACAAAGGCTGGGGTTGTGGCTCAGCGGTAGAATGTTCACCTATCACATGCAAGGCCCTGGGTTTGATCCTCAGCGCCACATATAAATAAATAAATGAATTGTGTCCAACTAGAACTAAAAAATAAATATTAAAAAAAAGAATTCAAACAACAATAAGTGTTGGCGAGGATGTGGGGAAAAAGGCATACTCATACATTGCTGGTGGGACTGCAAATTGGTGCAGCCAAACTGGAAAGCAGTATGGAGATTCCTAGGAAAACTTGGAAAGGAACCATCATTTGACCCAGCTATCCCACTCCTCGGTATATAAGAACTTAAAAACAGCACACTACATGGATATAGGCACATCAATGTTTATAGCAGCACAATTTACAATAGCTAAATTTTGGAACCAACCCAGATACCCTTCAGTAGATGAATGGGTAGGGAAACTGTGGTGTTTGTATATACATACATACACACACATACACACACACACACACAATGGAATATTACTCAGCATTAAAAGAGAACAAAATCATGGCATTTACAGGTAAACGGATAGAGTTGGAGGATATTATGCTAAGTGAGGTAAGCCAATTCCCCAAAACCAAAGGTGGAATGTTTTCTTTGCTATGAGGATGCTGACTCTAGAGGGGATGGGGGCGGGGAGCATGGGAGAAATGGAGGAACTTTAGATAGGGCAAAGGGGAGGGAGGGGAAGAGAAGGGGCAGGGGGGTAGGAGAGGATGGTGGAATAAAATGGACATATATATGTAGACATGAATGGTGTGAATCTACTTTGTGTACAATCAGAGACTTGAAAAATAGTGCTCTATAGGTGTAATATGAATTGAATTGCATTCTGTTCTCATATATAACAAAGTAGAATAAATAAATAATTTAATTCAAAAATTGACTTTTAGTTTTTCATGTAAGGCACCAAAACATGTAAAAAGATGAATATTGACATCATGATTTTCTTTTACAAACACTACTACATCTGTGTTCCCTATTATCCACTTTCACTGGTATCACTTCAGTGTATTTCTCGCAATCTTTAAAAATATATTTAGATGTTTGTGTATGTGCTCTTTGAATATGTTGGTAGTGTTTTGTGCCTTTTATTTAAAAAAGAAAACACATTAATTATTGATACAGTAGTTCTTATTTTCCTAAACTCGCCTGATTTATGACTCTCTTAGGATCTCAGTAATTATTTTGCAGTATTCATAGGTTAAGAAAATACATAAAAGTTCTATAATAATATTTAGGTCCAAATAGCTTAATAAGTATTTATGTGTTAACAACTTAATATCCATTAAATATATATAAATTGCAAGAAAATATTATTTTTCAGTTCATTCTAAAATAACCACAATCAATTAATAATGGGAGGTGTGGTGTGTGTGTCCCTGTTGGGCAGCCCTGGGATCCCTATTGGATGTTGCCATGTTCATTGCCTGTTCCATTCCTATTTTAGCTTGGTGCTTGATTTTTATCACAGCATGGGAAAAAAAAAGATACCAAAAGGAATCTAGCACAATCGAATGTTGGAACTGTGAACTTCTTCGAGTTCATAGTTCCCAGGGTGCTAACAGACGCCTGGTATGACTATGTTCCCCTGGGGTGCCAACTGCGGCCATGGTTATAAATTTTGCAGTTCACTTTTTTTTTTTTTCCACACAGTGTGCCTTAGAGATCTTTGTTACACTTGAAGATTTACCTCACCTAAAACACTGCAGAATCATCCAGAATACGAGTAGATCAGTTTGTTTATACATGTTCCTGTTGGCCATTAATGTTACTTTTAGTCTTTTGTAATTTTTTAGTGAAAAACCTTGCTATATGCCTCTTTGTTCACCTGGGTGACTTGGAGAATAAATGATTTGCTGGGCCACGTTTTTGTTTTTGTTTGTTTTAAATTAAGCTTGGTCCTCTTTGAAAGAATGACTTTCCTTTAGTCCTTTGAAATACATATGATGGATATAGTAAGTCTATGGTGGCTTGGCAGACACAGCCAATCCATCATGGCTCTCATCTCTGAGCCTTCTACTGTATTGGAACCATCTTAACAGTCCTGGTGTGGGCACACAAAATGGAACTGACTTGTCATTCCTTGAGCCAGAGAGGAGTTGGAGAGACAGGCTGAAGTCAGGCAGAGAAGGCCTACAGAGTTCAAAAGATGTCAAACTAGGAGCATTCAGAAAACATTTATATTTCAGATATTATTGGTTAAGTGACTGATGATTGGTCTCTGTGAGAAAACAGCAGTGTATTGCTTTCTGGTTGCTGTTAATTGTTTCTTGCCTTAGTATAAAATATCCTATTTATTTCTAGCAAAGTAATTTAATCAAGGGAACTCTTTTATTATTCTCTTCCATGAAGTTTATATATTGAAAGATATGGTCTACCCATTAAATTGTACTTATTCAGTAAAAACAGTGTCAGCACCAAACAAGCACTTATTATTTTTACATCCCAAGCATTGTATCTTATACTTATTAGCTTTTTAAATCCTCACAGTAGCCCCATGAGTTTGGTACTATCACTTTTTCCATTGTATAGTAGTTGTGGTATTTGAGACACAGAGAGTTTAAACATTTTGCACAAGGTTACAGAGCTGGTAAGTGATGTAATGAATTAGTTGTCTACTGTTCAATTATAACTATGTGATTTCTGCTTAGAAGGAGATAATGAGGATTCTCAAAATGAGTCAATATAATTTTGACCAGAAGTAAGGAAACTTGCTGTGTAAGTTTGTCTGTGCGACATGGTTGGGGTAAATGTACTTTTTTGTTATTGTTGTTGTTAGACTTTCCAGTACGTTGAAACAGTGAGGAATCTCATTATTGTTTTGAAGACTAAAGAGATCTGACACCGTAAATTAGAAACTACTGATTTGGTTAATTAATTTTTCAGTTTCAGAGAAAACAGGGAAAGTTCATCAAAGAGAATAAATGCGTTGTGGTGCAAACTGATCAGGTGGGAGGGCACAGACTAAGAGGTTAGGAGCTACTCTCTGCAATCCCACTGCACAGCTGGCTGCTCCACCACTTATTATCAGGTGACCTCAGGCAAGTTGTTTAACATCATGAGCCCCAGATTTCTCATTGACAAATGAAGTGGCTGTGAGGACTAAATAGGACAGCACATGGGAAGTCTTGATGAGCACCAGGCACTTAGTATGCGCTCAACAAAGGCAAGCTTTTTATTGAACTTTATGGGTATGCATTGACATCCCACAGTAAGGATAATATGGAACCCTGCAGTTACTAGGTGACACAAAGGAGATAGAGTGAGGTGTAACAGATGGTAAGTTTTTTTTTTCCTCTTCTTTCCTCTCTAACATCAAGCAGGCAGGGTGCCCCATGAGGGAGGACTCCCTGACCTCATGATGGATTCCCCAGGGTATCCTTTTTATCATCTTTATAAACTGTATGCATAGATGACTCTTCCTGACATTCCCTGAACAGGTTCAGGAACATCATGTTTAGTGATCTCAAAAGCTGCCTGGCTCTCAGCATGTTGAAATGACCTTTGTATATGGCATGGGGTGAGCTGGCCACTGGGACCGTTTGGTGTCTTCTTCAAATAAAATGCCCAGCCGTGACATGATTCTGAACTATTCAGGTCTTGGCTTCTTTGTTTTGTGGTAAAACTGATTTTTTCCTTAATATGACCTCAGGCCTCTGAAAATAAGATTTTAAAAGTCATTTGTTCCCCGCTACTGTAAAGAAAAATATCGTCTCCGTGTGAGATGGGGCTCATTCTGACTTGGCTCAATATCCATCTTAGACGAGGCTGCTCTGGAAGAGGAGCTGGGTGCTGATGCTATCCAAACTGTGACTCTGAGGTCATGGATGTCAAATGCTCCAAATCTTTAGCCATCTGTGGTTTTCCCAGAATTGCTCAGGAGTCAACTAGAGTTGCTAGAACGTCCCACTTAAGTGCATATCTCTCCTTTATCCTTCTAGCAACTGTATGATTCAGATATTACTCAGAAACTGTTGACCTTCTAATTTATACCATTGTCTGTGTTATTATTATTGTTGAGTTGTTTGTGTTGGTCTTTAGAGGGTGGAACATTGAAGAATATCTATGGAATCAAGGTGGTACCTTGGAATTCTTTTTAGTTGTTAAGTAAACAAATTGACCCACAATCTGTTTTATTTTTTCTCTCCCTAGCACTGGCTTGAACCTAACAAGTCTATCTTCAAGCAAATGAAATGTAAGTGTCAATCTGGGGTTTTACTTTTGCTATGAAATGTCCAAAGATAGATTCTGTTTCTTGACAAAGTTTCTCCTGCCAGGAGAAAAATGGGTAGAGTTGAAGATATTGGGTGAGCAGGGGCTTCTCTCTCCCAGTGAAGGCTGGGTATCCTCTTCCCCATTTTCTGGACCTTGGCACCCCCTGCAGTCTCTAGCCCTGTTGTCCTCTGTGCCTCTTCTCCCTGCCATCTTGCCCTCACATTTCATATTCACACAGGAGCTTTGGAATTGGATGGATAACTATCCCTTAAACATAATCACCAGGAACCCTGGTTCCTTTTCATTGTGGGTGTGGCTAGTAAATGGTTCAGGGTGTGGGGGTGCAGTCTGGAGGGGGATGGAAGAAGTGGGTGTGTTAGGAAACTAAAATCTTACCAATAACTTTACTAAATTTTGTTATTAGATTTTACTCCTCCAGCTCCCCAAATGAAGTAAAATATGTTTTTCTTGGTAATTGTCTTAAAGTTCTGGTGTTCTGAACACACCCTCTCTCTAGAGTCCTTGGTCATCCACCAGGAATGTTGTGAAGAAGGCATTGACAGGTAGTCCTGGGAGATGTGGGGTTTTTTTGGTTGTTGTAGTCATATGCACCAGACTATAGCCAACCTGCTTTTATTTATGGTTTGGAGGAAAAGTTCTGAAATGCACCTCAGAAATTCATTGCCTTCCCCCAAATCCATTTATCCCTCTCTATGTCAATTTTCTCAGGACTCTGCAATGTAGGTGATAAATCAGTTTTTCACCGGAGATCAGATTAGTATATATCATATCGTCCATCATCATTCAAGGGGTTTTTTTCTTTCTCAAATATGATATTATTCTGGGAAGGGTTTTCAGGTGGGAGAAGGAAGAGACTGAACATGCAAGGGCTTAAAACTAGCAACCAACATATGTATTCCTTAACCTTCTTCTTTTATCCTTCCTTCTTGTCCCTCACCTGCCTCCCCCCATTCTTTGAGAACAAATTCTGTCTGGCCAGTGCAAAGAAGGGTTTATTGAGATGAGAACAGATGCAGATGCAGGTGTAGGAAGTCCAGGGAGGCTAGGCTGTTGGGTGAGGCTGGAACAGTGTTGGGACAAGGCTGAAACAGAGTTGGGGCATGCATCCCCATAAAGATAGAAAGAGACCAGGAGACCTCATACAGTATGCTATGCAGGAAAATGAGAACTGATGCTTGAGAAAAAAGTAGTTGATACCTAGCTTTTGTTCCTTAGCTTCCAAAAGTTTATATTTTTATTTATATATTTAAAAACATTTCAGCTAAGTTTCCAGATTATTAGTTAAGATTACTTTATTAATTAAGTAGTTTTAATTAATATTAAATGTTTCTTTGACTTTGGTTCTTAAATGTCATGGATTCTTTTTTCCCATGGACCATAGAAATTTTTGAAATATAATTTATTTTTTAATGTAGTTCAACATATAATAGAAGGAAAAATTAAAAATTGTAAAATATTTAAACTTGTGAGGATTTTGCTGCTTTAAGAGCTTTGTCTCCACAGTTAAGCAACAGCTGACTGAAAGTATTTGATGTTTTATAGAAAAGGTTTAAAGTTTGGCATTTGACCACTGGCCAATTTCAATCTGATGACAAATGGGATCTGAGTCTGGAAATAAGAATAGTGTAAAAGTCAATTTCCAAACCAGATCAGGTGACTCACAGATTCCAGGAACTAACAAGGGTCTTACCCATCACCCAGTGCCCTGTTGTGTTGCAAAGTACACTAATGAACCAAAAAAAAATATGATTTTTTTCAAGATCACAAACCTAGTTTTGTTGTGGTTGATGATGATATCTTTTAGCATTAAGAATCTGTGTTCTGGAGCTATTAACTTTAATGTATATTCTGGAGCTATTAACTTTAATGTAAATTGGGAAAAATTTAAAACTGGAGCTTATACATTGTGAACCTAGAAAAGCTGAGTCCAACTCATCCATGAGTTGCAGAGCCCCAGGAAGTGTCTTACTAAGGTAGGGACATGCCTGTTATGTTCCTGTTGCTTTTTATTAGGCTATGCTTATGTTATTCCTTGAAGAAATTTTTTTCACATTCCCATCTGACTCACACAGGGAAGTGGACATTCAGGTTCTTTGTTCTGATGCTTTCTTTTTTTTTTTTTTTTTGAGGTGGGGGCATCAAACCCAGCTCATTACACATGCAAAGCACACATTCTACCACTAAATGATATCCCCATCTCTGCTCTGATCCTTTTAAGAGCTTCCCATTATGGGTTTTCCTAGAAATGATGTTTCCCAGGGTTGGCTGAAGGTCAGCTGTCCTGATTAACAAACCCTTTTACAAAGGCTTTATTGTTTCTTAGTAGTTTTAAAAGCAATATCATGTTGGTGGTTTTTCAAACAGTTCAGAAAGGTTTAAAAAGAAGACCAAATCTATTTCCTTTCTTCTCTTCCTTATATACCCAAGCCCACCCAGAAAGATAACTATTAACACTATATTTAAAAATTTTAAATGAGCATATACTAATTGTACATATTTACGGGCTACAGTATGATACAATTGCAATATGATCAGATCAGGGTAATTAACAATATTTTGCATGTCCTTCCAGGAATGTCTTGGTATGTATACATTCTCCCATCATATATAAGGCCTGTTGTAGATAGCAATGCGATTGACCTCTTTATATTGTTTTTCCCTTTTTTATTTTTTAATAATTAGTTTTGGAGATTTTGCAATATCTGTGGTTGAGGACTGATATTACTTTAAAACTGATTTTCTGATTAATTGTATGCATGTATATAATTTACTTATTTTGGAAATAGAGATTGTTTCTAGGATCTTGCTATTACAAATCATACTGCAGTAAACATGCTTGTATACATTCTTGCTTCTTGTAAAAGTACATCTGTACTACAGATTCCTAGAAGTTCAAGAGACATACACACTTTACATTTTTAGTGTTAAAATTCCATTCAAGGAAATTGTAGCAGTTTATTTTCACTAATGTTGTATGAGAATGCTTGTTTCCTCTAAATCTTATTGAAATGGATATAATTAAGTTTACTTTTATGATGACATAAAATTTATAAAGGAAGAGAAATATTTATTTAATTAAAATCTAATTAATTAGATGGTTAGTTAATCAGGTATAATTTTTTTTATTGGTTGTTCAAAACATTATAAAGCTCTTGACATATCATATTTCATACATTAGATTCGAGTTGGTTATGAACTCCCAATTTTACCCCAAATACAGATTGCAGAATCACATCGGTTACACATCCACATTTTTACATAATGCCCTATTAGTAACTGTTGTATTCTGCTACCTTTCCTATCCTCTACTATCCCCCCTCCCTCCCCTCCCATCTTCTCTCTCTACCCCATCCACTGTAATTCATTTCTCTCCTTGTTTATTTTCCCATTCCCCTCACAACCTCTTATATGTAATTTTGTATAACAATGAGGGTCTCCCTCCATTACCATGCAATTTCCCTTTTCTCTCCCTTTCCCTCCCACCTCATGTATCTGTTTAATGTTAATCTTTTCTTCCTGCTCTTCCTCCCTGCTCTGTTCTTAGTTGCTCTCATTATATCAAAGAAGACATTTGGTATTTGTTTTTTAGGGATTGGCTAGCTTCACTAAGCATAATCTGCTCTAGTGCCATCCATTTCCCTGCAAATTCCATGATTTTGTCATTTTTTAGTGCTGCGTAATGGATATAAATTTTTAAATTGGGATACTTGTTAAATCAAAGTCTTATTTCTCCTTTGAATTTAGGAGAGACACTAAATTTTATTTTTTAAATTAACATTTGGTAAAATTGACTTTATTTTGGTGTAGAGTCCTATGAACTTTAACACATCAGTACAATTTTATGACCAGTACTATAGCTGGAAAAGAATAGTTTCGTCACCCCAAAACTTCTCTGTAGTTAATCCCCTAGAGACTGATAATCACTGATCTGTTCCATGACAGTAGGCTTGTCTTCTGAGAATCATACAGCTTGTAAGTTTTGAGAATGATTTTTTAAACTGGGCATAATAATATTCACTCAAGTTGTTGTGTCTCTTAATATGCAATACAGAAAATTAATGAAAATAAAAGTTAGTCTTTGAAGAGATCAGGAAAAATTATTCAGCCTCTAGGAAGACTGAGGGAAAGAAGAAAAGAGAAGGTACAAATTTCCAATGTCAGGAATGAAAAGGAGATATCACTACAGACCCCACAGAATAATTCTAGGCATGTAAACCTGAGAGCTTAGATGAAATACATTAATTCTTCAAAAAGCAAGAATTACTAAAACTCGTCCAATATGAAATATGTAACTTGAATAGTTTCATAGCTATTAAGGAAGTTAGGTTTAAAAACTTCGAATTCCCTCACTGTTGCTAGTGTTGCTGCCAGAATTCCCTGTCCTGCTCCTTAAGTTGTAACCAGAAATTTTTCCTGGAATTTTCTCTGTTAGAGCTGATGCTCACTTCTCAGGTCCTGACCAGAGGATGCCAGGGGAAAAACATATGAACTCATTGCTGGTTCAGTGGCCTTCTGAATTCTCATGTCTGCCTGCTATTGTTTGTTTTTCAGTTCTTAAGTAGTTGCTGCATGTATTCTGCCCAGATTTTAGAGTAGTATTCCATTATATCCAGAGTAGATTCGTTCATCCTACCTGGAGTTGGAACCTTAAAGTCAAACTTTTTATTATCCCTTGTCTATCAGGTCAACATGCAGATAGCCTGCATAATTTGTCTGGGCAGTGTTGAGAAAAATATCGTCCTCATTTTTCTATGCCACAGCATGTCCATAGGTACAAATACGAACCAGGTTGATTCTTTTCTTGTTTTTCATGAGTATTCAGATAACAGGTACTTTGCAAATAAAGTATCAACAGCAGCAGCACATTTTGAATGTCTTGTTTTCAGAGTTCTTGCTTTTCATGAAGGAATATTGCTATGCAACATTAATAGTGATTATTTTCATTTTTACATGTGGCTT